GAATCTCTCCCCACCATCATCTGTTAGAGAAATACAGACTCCCTCATTACTAAAAGCCTTCAGGCCCTAATTAGTTCACCACTGTTTTTCAAAAGCCGACCCACCTGGATATTCATGTCAGCTCAAGCATGCGTGTGTGTTTAAAGCCCAGAGACCAACAGCATTACAATGCTTCACTATTTCACCCAAAACAGGATGTGATCCAGCGCAACCCCAAAACACAATGCCAGCCAAAAACTGTAAATGTTTAAACGTTGTTTCATTTTCTGTAAATAATTTGTAATCCTGCAAATGCATGCATGTCCAAAGGCGTCCAGATCGCCTTTCTAACTAGGCAATTCAGCCACTTTAAAGGGCTCGTTTCCTACTTCCTGCATCCTGTTAGAATTAAAGGTGCTGTGCAGGTACATTCTTCGTTCATCAAGGTACAAACAATGTAAATGTTCCCTCAAAGGTACAACAGTGGTTTTAAGGTCCAATTGTGAACCTTAAGTAAGTTTTTCCAGGTGAAAAGTTCGTATTTGTACCTTTTCATAACCGAATGTTTTAAAACAGAACAGTAAAATAAAAGCCTGGAGACGAGACGGGGTGTGTGGAGTCAGTACAGCTTAGAACATATCATTTCAGTGGATTTTGGTTCAGTTATGTTCCCTGACTAAAGGTACTGAGACGTACCCTTGAGGGTCCCACACCAGTGACAAGAGGGGTACAGCCTCAGTGACAGTTTCATATGCTTTTTTCTGAGAATGTAGTGTCTGTCTACACTTCACTTTTCCCCTTGAGGTCCACATGTAACATTTGTGTGGTTTTATGTAGCAAAAACAGACATTATTTATTTTAAATGACCATTTGCCAGCCTCCTTATCTCTAATGACATGGGCTTTGTTATGGTGCCTTTAAGACTGACATATGTAAATGAGCTTTGATCTGGCTGGCTGCTCTGTTTTGTGCCACTTTTAAAAAGCAGTCCAGGTTGAAACACTCCTTATAAGTTCAGCGTGAAGAGGCAGAGCTAAACTGGTGCAGGCAGAACAGGCAGATATATGAAAACGATAGAAGAATTCAGTTTCCACATATAGAGCATATGGACGGGGGAGTGAATGATATGTTTTGAAACTTTAACAATGTTTAGGTGCCACATCAAACTCTTCTGCTTCAAGAAAGTGGGGAAAATCCAGTTTTCCATGATGGGCATCCTTTAAAGTAATTTAAAGGATGCCTATCAGCAATTTGTCAGAAAAGAAAATCAAATTTAGCCAATTTTTCACTTACCCCACACTGTTAGAATTAAAGGTTCTGTGCTGGTACATTTTTCGTTCATCAAGGTAGAAACAATGTAAATGTTCCCTCAAAGGTACAACAGTGGTTTTAAGGTCATATTGTGAACCTTAAGTAGGTTTTTCCAGGTGAAAAGTTCATATTTGTACCTTTTCATAATCGAATGTTTTAAAACAGAACAATAAAATAAAAGCCTGGAGACGAGACGGGGTGTGTGGAGTCAGTACAGCTCAGAAAATATAAGTATGGTACAGTTATGTTCCCTGACTAAAGGTACTGAGATGTACCCTTAAAGGTACCACTCCAGTGATAAGAGGGACATGGCCCCAGTGACAGTTTAGTACCCTTTTTTCTGAGAGTGTATAACACCTGTTGTGTAAAGCAGCTGCCGGTGTTATTTGGCTGCACAGTTTTGTTCATTTTCATAGTCCACAGTAAATCATATTGTGTCATAAACCACATTGACAAGTCTAACGACCCTAATGAAGACCTGGATGGGGTTTGAGTGGGTTGAAGTTTTGGGGATGTGTTTATTGAAAAGATTTGGGTTACTATTGACTTAACCTCTTAGATTCAGTGCTAAGCTGTGGACACCAAACATATTTTGGCTGATCAGCTACATCTGCACTCTCAGAAATAAAGGTACAAAGCTGTCACAACTGGTTCACAACTGGACCCTAAAACCACTGCTGTACCTTTGAGGACATATTTACATTGTCTGTACCTTGATGAATGAAAATTCAATGTGGCAAATTCTGTCTCCATTGCAGAATCTGGCTTCCCTTTGCATACACGTCACGCAGGAATATGGATGTTAGATTACATTCACAATTTGTTATTTTTATTCAGAAACAGTTTTGTAATTAAAAAAATATATATTTAATTTACATAATCTGTAGGGTCCACATGCCTGCAAGACATGCATGCACGTGAAGGGGATTCAGATTCTGCAGGGGAGACAAAATTCGGCACAACACGTGTCTAAACAGGCTGCCTGCAGTGTTCAGCTACAAAGTGAAGTTTGGTTCATAGCTAAGTTTTGGGGGACTTCTGACTTCTAGTGTTAGCAAAGGCATCTCGTAGCTCCAGCACTAAACTAAAACGGCAAAATTTGGATACCAATCATGTCGTGGCTGATTGACTACGTAAGTGGAAAACAGTGTACATTTGATTCCATTGGTTTCACGTGAACCGCTTTGTGACACTGGCGTTCAATTACGCATGCACAGCATGTATAACCACCATAGAAAATCACTGACCAGTGGAAGCTGAACATGAGCATAAGGTCATCATGCCCAGTGTCAAGTGTCAATTAAAGCGACATAAAGCCCCCCAGCACAGAGCAGAGGAACTGCATTCTCTGGAGTAATGAAGCTCCAGCAAAAGGGGACAAACTATTGGACTCTCTATTAACACTCTTGATTTCAGAAGTAAACACTGAATGAGCTGGTGGACATAAAGCGTAGGTTGTTATGTCTATGTCATCAAAAGATCCACTCTTTGGCACTGTATTTTTCAAAAAAGGCAAATACAGCAGAATTCACCTGCTGAATGTTTACCTCCAGTTTTAAAAATAGCTGAAAGAGCCGACACTGCACTGTTCTACTTCAGTGATTTAGCTTAGCGCAACAATGCTCTACAAATACTGAGCTTACTAAGCTTTCTGGTGTGACTTTGGGTTTCACTTCACAGCTTCATGTGGCTTAAATCCTGCACTTTACTGCTCAAAGAAGAAAGAAAACTGTGAATGGGGGAGAATGTTCTGGAGACTCATCAGAATCCCAGATACAGCATAACACAACGATATTTGGCTTGTAGGAGTTTGTTTGAAACTGCTGGGCCAGTGCACATTGTCTTAAAGACACAGTTTGGCGGGCAACCAAGCAGAGCCCAGCCGACTTCTATCGGTGATAGATGTTAAATGTATCCAAACCTAACCTTTCCCCTTGAGAATAACCTATTATAACACAAAAATAATTTTTTTGTGTGTGAAGTGAACTTTTTTATGAATCTCCACCTACAACACTATAATATTTAAGACTTTGAGAGTGTCTGCTGTTCATTTGAGGCGTGACTATTAAGAAGTGAAACACATCTGTTAGAAAAGCACTTTTCAACTAATACTTAGTATAAAATTTTTAAAAAAGATGTAAAATTAAGCTGATGTTAACGGTTATCAGAATTTTTAGCCCCTTAAAATCTGTATGAGGTGTTTGATCCCCGGTGAGGCTAAACCATCTGTGGCTGGGAGTCCCAGAGAACACATCTGGCCTCGCTCTCTCTGGGTGGGTGGGATGGCCCTGCTTGTCCCCCATCACTCAGCGTGATGCTAGCCAGCGCAGATGTGTGTTAGCTGATATGACAGAGCGACGGTCAGTGTTCTCCTCTGAGCGCCTTCAGCTGTCCAATGACGTAGAGTTAGCGGCAGTTCAAAAAGATACAGTGGCTGGCTTCACCCTCCTAGTGCTGGTGGTATCATGTGATTGGGGGAGAGGGTGGAATTGGATATGGCTAAATTGGGGAGAAAATTGAAAAAAAAAAAAAAAAATTTGACCCCGCAAAAAATTTAGGTGTACTCTGAGTGTAAAATGTTTATATAGGTCAGCCCTTCTAACCAGTAATGGTGGCTTATAGCCCATTAATTAGCAAACTGCATGTCTAATTCATCACTCACTTACGGAAGTCCGGAGAGGCCATGAGCTGTTGCTATAATTTTCTGAATTGTTATCTTGAGATAACAACATAAATAGCTCGTTATCTCAAAGTAACAACTTTGTTATCTTGAGGTAATAAGATAATTAACTTGCTATCATAAATGAACAACTTTTGTTATCTTGAGATAACAAGATAAGTAACTTGTTATTTCAAGATAACAATTTTGTTATCTTGAGATAAGACAAATAACTCATTATCGCAAAATAACAACTATGTTATCTTGACTTCACAAGGTAATTCACTTGTTATCTTAAGATAACTTTTGTTATCGCGAGATAACAAGATAAGTAACCTGTTATTCCAAGATAACAATTTTGTTATCTTGAGATAAGAAGATAATAACTCATTGTCTCAAAATAACAATGCAGAATATTGTAACTACCTCATGGCCTCTCTGGACTTCTGTACCCATTTGCCTCAAACAAGAAAACTAATCTGGTGTCTGACACCGTATGACACTCTGTTACATATAAACATGGATAAAAACAGTCAGATATCCAATACAGTAGTGGCCACCTTGAAACTTCCATTTTGCCCGTTTTTAAAGATAACAGTAAGTCGTACAGTGTCAGGAACCACAGCGAGTCCACATTAGCCTCATAGCTCCAGTTCTCCAAACGTGCCTTGACTGGCTGTTTGGGGTTAAAGGGGAAAGTCATGCAAACCTATAGTAAAAACTAGCAAGACTTCTATAAAATAAATGCTGGAATTCATTCAAGTCAAACTGAGAGGTGCTGCAGGTTCCACTGAAGGTGTGAAGTGCTGCTACACTGAGGGATGATTTAGAGTTTGGTTTATTTGTTCAGACATGCTGGATGATTATGACATAATCTGCCGCAAATCTTGTTTATCTGGATTGGTGTGTTTTCACGACAGACTGCTGTGTGCATTACAACACCTCTCAAATGGATCCACTTAGTTTTTTTCAAAACTACAAAAGCCAAAACGCTCCTTCCACATTCGATAAACAACAGCCATAAAAATCAACAAACCCAAATGCTGGGTTGGGATGCTGCACCTGAGCATGACTGTTGAGAGTATCTAGAACGTCAGTGTAACCTATTACGCAACCAACTACGTAAATATGTAATTATTTATTTTACATTTTTATATGCAGGTAAGGTAAAATATTATTTAGCAATAATTATATAAGACATACAACAATATAATGAATTATTATTGACGTTAATGTAAATAATCAGTTTAAAAGACATGTTATAAAGTATTGCATAACAGCAATAATAAATCTAGATTTAATGGTTACAGGTTACTACTAATGCCAGCAGTGCACAGCAGAATTCTCTTTTCCCACAGTCCCTTGCACCTACCTCCTCCTCCTCTTGCGACTCTCCCATTGGTCCATTGTGTTTCTCCTGGTAGAGAATTTTCTTCATCTTCCGGTACTGCAGGTTGTCCAGCTCCCGGACGGCATCTTTCGTCCTTTGGATGAGGTCCACGAGGACCCGTGGGGGGCGGTCTCGACGCACAAAGTCATGCTGCAGAAACACAAGAGGGGAAGAGGTTGTTAGCAGAAGAATAAACGAATGATTGGTCACTAACTGAAGAACTACTTTCCTCTACATTTTATAAAACCTTCACAATACCATGTTGAACTGCCACAAATCAGATTTTTTGCCTAAAAAGGACACTGAAGTGATTTTTTTAAAGCGGTGTGAATGCAAAAAAATCATTTCCTGTTAAATCAGATTAGATCCACTTTAATATCTGCTCATACCTTGTTTACATAAATGATAACACAGTGACCAGAGGGGGGACGGGCAGATAATTATTTTTTTTTTTTTTGTTTGTGTTTTTTTTGTTTTGTTTTGTTCTGTTTTTCGTTTTTTTTTTGGGCGCATATCACTTTGATCATTATTCGGTGTCAAGCGGGTCCTTTCAGGTCACACTAATGACAGATATGGGTCACTTCACTTATATAAATGTGAATAATCAAGGCAGAAAGATCAGATTTTAGCACAACATGTAAGTACAGTTAAAGTGCAAGAGACTACGCTACCAGTCCACTATTCATTTTCCCATTAAACGCTTTAATCAGATCTTCTGAAGCTGTTTTTAACATCATGGCACAAACACTAGATCTGTTTATGAGGGTAAAATCACAATCTCTCCTGCTGGTGTTTGGTGGGGGGGGCTAGTCATCATCATGACAATACAGACACTGTTATTTTTCTACTTTTAGCACATTTTATCCTGCATTTCCCCCACATTTGATTTACTCCTCACTTTATTCACCTTAATGCCTCCTTTCTTTACCTCAGAATAGTCTTTAATTTGCCATACTGGAGTCACACACTCATGTCGTTCACAGAATCTAGCACTAAGGCCCACGCTTGTGAGAAAATGAATGCAGGAAAAAACAAAACAAAAACAAACAAACAAAAAACTAAAAAAAATGAGAGTACACTTAAATACACACTAAAGGCATTTTTATTTAATTTTTTGGGATAAAAAATTTTATATTGATCATATATCAAAATAACATTTGTGGTAACACACTGCAACATGACTCCCCTTATAAAGATGTTTATGATTGGTAAAAATTAGTTAATTACTGGTTATGAATTAAGTTACGAACAACTTAAAAGTCATTAATAAGCAGTGGTAACATATACATGAAATCAGTGGGCAACCGTGACCTGATGCTTGCCAAATAGTGATCCCATTCATTTGCACTGTTAACCTTATCTTACTTCATTACTCAGTTTTAAACCTGTTAGTTTAATCAGATATTCAAATGTATCAGATATAAAAGCTCTTTTCATTGATGTGTTATAAATGATGATTTTTATGACCTAATTAATAACCACAGAACCGTAAACTAATTTAAAACCATTCATAAGCTCTTTATAAGGGGAGTCTTATTGTAAAGTGGCACCTCATATCTAATGTGTTCAATGAAAAGTAAAAGAGTTTTAGGTTTAACAGGTGAGGCCTAATATCTTGCTATCACAACCACGCAGAGTGAGAACAGCACACTCTGAAACAAGATGGTGCTTCAAGAGTTCTTTAGTAAAGAAAATGGTTCTATGTAGAACCATGAACACTCAAACATCCCTTTGCATGATTAAAGGGTTCTTTCCATCACAAATTCGAATTGCTGGAAAATGTGCATGAATGTGCTATAGGCAGTTCTGTATAGAACCTTTTCGAAAAGGTTTCTTCTATTGTTACAAGCTTGACACCTTAACAATACAAGAACCCTTTTGGGTGCTGTACAGAACCATTTTCAGAAAGATTCTATATAAAACCATCTACAGCACATTCTACATCCTTGTGAAGAACCCTTAGACGATGCAAGGAACCTTTTAATCATGCAAAGGGTTCTATGAGTGTTAATGGTTCTATATGGAACCATTTTCTTTACTAAAGACTAAAAAAAATGGGGTCTTAGTCTTGGGCATTGCTTGATTAATACATTCTTACAAGCATGATTTAAACTTAGTTTTTGACAGCTGATTAATTTATTAATTTATATTATTTTATTAATTTATATTATTTTCTATATTTCTATATATATATATATTTTTTTTTCAATCAATGATCTGGGTAGCGCTGTTGCCTCACAGCAAGAAGGCCCTGGGTTCGATGCCCCAGCCAGGAGACCAGGGTCCTTTCTGTGTGGAGTTTGCATGTTCTCCCCGTGTCTGTGTGGGTTTCCTCCCACGGTCCAAACACATGCAGTCAGGCTGACTGGACATGCTAAATTGCCCCTAGGTGTGAATGTGTGTGTGGATGTATATGTCTGTGTATCTGCCCTGTGACGGACTGGTGACCTGTCCAGGGTGTTTCCTGCCTTCCGCCCAATGACCGCTGGGATAGGCTCCAGCTCCCCCGACAACCCAGAAAGATAAGCGGCTAAGAAAATGTGTGTGTGTGTGTGTGTGTGTGTGTGTGATCTGGTGATGCTATTATTGGCGATACAACACAATTTAACCAGTCCTACACTGTCAGGAATTATTTGTCACTTTGGGTGATGGGTCAGATCAAGACAGAACTTCATTAAGCTGGTCAGTTTCAGATCTTAAAACCTGATGCAAGTCAGGTCAGGTTGGGTCCGGACAAAATTTGTAACCAGCATTGGGCTGTGGAGCAGTGGAACTGCGTGCTCTGGTGTGATGCAGCTCCATCCAATACCTCTAAGATGAGCTGGAGTGATCATCCAACATCAGTACCTGACCTCACTAATGCTCTTGTGGCTGAATGCAATCAGATCTTCACAGCAATGTTCGAACATCTTGTGTAAAGCCTTACCAGAAGAGCAGAGGCTGATACTGCAGCAAAAGGAGGACAAACTCCTATTGATACCCTTCAGAAGAAACATTAGATGACCATGTATAAACAGGAAAGTGTGTGACTAATTCAGAAAGGACTGTGTTTATCACAGCATGCATAAAATCTCTCTCTGCAAGTAAACAACCACCTAGAAACAATTCCCTGGAATGTAGGATTTCTCCTACTTTCCTTGTGGCAAGGTTTGAGTGCGTCATGCTAATTTATGTACATTTAAAATGATCCTTTTCCAGCTTTGTACTTTTTTTTAATAAAATAATAAAAAAAAAAAAACATTCATTTCAAATGAGCAGATTGTGCAGGAAAGATTACATCACGCTCAATTCGGTCGTGACGGATCTGGAACAAAACCCACTGTGGATTACTCCGAGTGCGCTCTGAATTACGTCATTTTGGGTCCGTCCGTCGCTCACTAGAGGGCACCGCTGTGCAACATGACCCTGGGTGAGCATATGGAGGTTTGGAAGAAGCGGTTGGTTCACTGGGGGCTCAGAGGCTTAAGCTTATTCAGGGAAAACTCAGTCTAGACTCAATCCAAACACTCTTCCATTCACGCTCATTATACACCGCTCATCTTGCCTGCATTCCCAGGAGCTAATGGATGTCCAGGCAGACTCGTGGTGACCTACTGTCCTGCAAATTTAGCTCCTGTCCTAATCTAACACATCTGAACCAGATAATCATCGCCCATAGGAAGGAACATCTGAACATTAAAGAGGTGTGGAGGATTTCAAGCATGATAGCATCTGCATTACTTTTTGCTTGTTTTAAAAAGGCTCAAAGCGGGAATTCCACTGAGTTTGGTTTGATGTGAAACTGTTCACTGTAGAGAAACTTACTGACTTGTGTTTCTTTACAGTGGTGGTGATGGGAACCAGGCGTCACAATGTCTACAGTGCAATTATAGGCATTTTATTTATGGTCCAAAACAACCAGTACGTTTGTATATGTAACATTGATAATGGTTGTAAAAAAAAAAAATAAAAAAATGCATTAAACCTTTCCACCTCTGTGCTACGAATAGATTTTAAAAATACTTTTTAGGTGAAAACGTAAATCATTCATAATCATTTAATCTAATAACTTTCTGTGAGGGAGCTTTTAGACGTCTGGTTCCTATCACCACCACTGTGAACAATTCTGACATTCTCTAGAATGAGGCATTTCACACCAAACCACTCTGAATAACTCTTTTTAAATTTAATGTATAAATTATGCAGAAATTTAAGAAAATCCGTGGAATTCCCCTTTAAAATCTGCCCTTACTGTTTACACTAATCAATACAATACAATAATAATACAATAATTCATTTGTATTTATTTGACTAAATCAAGCATTCGTATGATTGTAACTGTACATTGCTATGGATAAGACAAATGTGCTAATTAAAAATAATATAAAAGTGAAGCCTTAAACAGGTAGGTTTTAATCTTGTTGATCAAAAATGCCTCAATATAAATTTCTGATTTTATTTTAGGCAAACATGCATCATGATGCAATCAGTGGCAGCTGACTGGCTAATGGCAGTAAATTACTCCACTGTTCAAAAGTTTGGAATCACTAATTTTAATAAGCTAATAACAATTAAGAAACAAATTGTAGGGATGCATGATGATACTGGAATCATGCCGGTATCGGTAGATATTTGATTAAAAATAATAATAAAATAAATATAATAAAAAAACAAAAATAATAAAAACATTGGCATCAGTAATACTGTAATATTTCAAATCTATATTTGATTATGTATTTACTGTACTCCAGAACAGTAGAATGTTTAGGCTACTGAGCTTAAATATCTGCAGTTTATTCATTTTACTGCATTTGTAACCCTAATCCAAGTGGATTTAATCCCAGTTTCTACATTTAATCAATCTATACATACTGAAATATATGACTGACAGATATGAAAATCCTGGATATTCCTAACTGGTGCAGCACCAGTGCAATGACTTCAAAAGGGAATTACAGAGAATTTTTTTCTAAATTGCAGCAAATGGATAACACGTAAACAAAGTCATTCAGAGTGGTTTGGTGTAAAACGCTCCATTCTAGAGAAACTTACAGAGTCAGAATATTCACAGGGGTGGTGATATGAACCAGACGTCCACTTCTACAAGTTCCCTCTGAAAGTATCACATGAAATGGTTACGCATACACTGCTTGATGCCTGACGCACTGTTC